ATAGACCATAATATACATTGATCAGAATCTGAGAATCTGACTCTGTAGATAAAAAAGCGGGACAAACACATTTGGAGATTTCACTTGGAATGTTACTCAGATAAAAGATTTCTGTGGAGAACTTTAATTAGAGTTGTAAATGTAATACATCAAAAATAAGATTTCCTAACAGTTTACATAGATTCCAAAGTTTGTTGTGTTAGAAAATAATTTCTGTAGTCCTTTGCTCAATAAAAGACACCTGTGAAGAGTAAATAAAACAACCTTGGGAGAATGTTGAAGGAGACAGTCTATAAAAAAGAAGGGAAGATTAGACAACAGCTCTAGGTGTTACTTATGACCCTATAGGTCTCCAGCTACTAGGTTTTTTACAGCTATAGATATAAGAATCGTTTCTGAGTGATGGTCATTTTGAAGCCATCAAAATATATTCTAAACTATGAAAGTTATAGTTATAAATAGTAAAAATTATATTTTTAAATTATTTCAGGCACAATGAGGTGATAATATGCAAAGAAAAAAAACCTTTGAGAGATATAATGAAATCTAAATTATATCAACTTAAATGAAGATCTGTCAAAAGAACAGAAGCAAACTTAAAACAAAAGAATAGGAGAATAAGCACAAGACTGGAAGGAAAGATGGAATCAAGGAATCATTTGAAAGACACTTTTCTTTCTCTGGTGAAATATAATTCCAAGTTGTCAGTAAGTTCCCATGGTTACTATCTGGAAGAAAAATACAAACATGATTTGTTTTTGTTTTTGTATTTTAAATGGTAAGGGATAAAAAAGAAAATATATGGAAAAGTAATAAAAGACAATAGAAATGTTTTCAATTGATGGAGTTAGTACGAGAAAGATAACTAGTTCATTGGTATTTAATAAAATAGAATTTTTAAAATTAGAGAAATGTATTAGAAAGTTTTATTTTTTAAATTTATTTTTCTATGTGTTCAGTGAATAATATATGAATACACACGTAACTAGTCATACAGAATAATCGGAACCCCCACATACATAATTCTCACTAGTGCTACACACTTTTGAAAGAATTTTATATATAATCAATTCAAGCTAATATTCATAGCAATATTGTTGTTGTTATTATGTGCTAGCTATTCCATTTTGATTCACAGAGATCTCGTGAAAAATTAGGACTGTAGGATAGGGCTTCATAGGCTGTAATCACTACATAGAAGCCTTAGGAATATGGCAGTTGAGCACTTAGCTGTCAATGTAGAGGCGATTTGAATTTAGCAGCTGCTCCATGAGGAGAAGATATGGCAGACTTCACCAATAAAGGTTTGAGCTGGGAAATCCTGTGAGTTTCTAATCCGACCCCTAGGAGTAGAATCAACTTGAAGACAACAGGTTTGTTTAAGTTTTAATCGTTATGTGCCCATGGAAACCCCGTATAGGTTAAAACCAACAACCTATTGGTTAGTAGCTAGACCCTGGGCCACCAGGGCTCCTTCCAACACTACTGTTGTTGTTGTGCGCTTTGGGATTGATTGCAACTCACAGCCGTCTTACCCATGAACACAGAATTCTCCATAGTGTTTCCTCGGGTTGTAATCTTTATGGAAACAGACCGTGGATCAGTTTGTGGTGTCCAACTGCCAGACTGCCAATTGGTATGTAACCATTATGGGTCTATAATCTGACTACCACCTCCATTTTATACTTATAGAATACCAGGTTAAAAAAAAAAAGATACCAATTCTCCAAAGTCATAGAATGCAAAGTAGCCAACAGAAGCAGAGACACATTTTGCTCCAGTATCAGAATCTTTAGCTACCAACCCTCAGATGTGAAATACAAACACGTGGAAAATAATTTGCTCAGATTGAGGTCACAAACTTCTTAATATTACATATCTATCAACTTCAAGCTCAAGTAGTTTGAGTGAGTAGCCCCATGGCAGTCAATGTTTGAGGCTTCCAGAGAAGCCAGCAGTTCCCTTATCTAGTTAGTGCATTCAGAGAGAGCAGGATGCATGAGCCGCGAGAGATTGCTCTTTACTGTGTAAACAAATGGATTATTCAGAAGCAAGGAATTGGAAGTCAAGTGAAGTG